CTCGGTTTTCGCATCAAGATACTTCACAAGAACACCAATAACTGACTTATTGAGACGTTTAGGAGAAAATAGGAACGTGACATTTAATGAAATTTACAAGTTTTATTGAAGATATATTTTAATATCACAGACAAGGCTCTGCGTTGCCCCACTATTCATTTTTCACAATCTATTAGACAAAAATCTATCGATTCCCTCCCTGTTTGTCCACTGCGCCCCTTTTCCTCTCAACCTCACCCCTCTACTTGCTCTAACCCCGCCTTTCTCTATCCAACCGTAAACCACCGATCTATTTCACTCACTTTCTCACTAAAATAATCAATAAATTATACTAAAAAAATAAAATATCTCAACTCACGTCTACGTTATCTGTCATTTTTCGTACCTCTTGCCAATACAATAAGGAGACTTCTACAAACAAATAATTAAGTTTGTCACTTATTTAGCATTAGAACAGGGATTTACTTGTTCATGATTCATGATTTTTTCCATTAAATTATCTCTCACCTAGATGGAATTATGATCAAATTCCAACTTGCAACTTTAAGTATCGTATATGTAAAGAAAACTAGGAAAGTTTGTGATTCTCAAATGGAAACTGTATACATTTCGCAATTAATCAATACGTAGATAGATACGCTCTCAGTTCACTAATAGTTACGCTCTCGTTTTACTTGTTAGATATTTTAACAATGAGTTCGCTACCAAGATGAGTCTCCGTATCTCCAAAGCAATTGTAAAAAAAAACACATGTTGGGGAAACTTCTTTTACTCGCAACAACGCGGTGCATGATTTTTTTTATCATCCGAAAGTATTCATGCCAAATTTGTGAGCAGTAACTCCAGCACTCCTATTTTTTTATGAAACATGTAGCTGTAAACAGTTTAATTGTTATTTTGTATATTTTATTCTCTATTCGTACATTATTGCGTTTGATTGCCTTCAATACGGGGCTTGATATACACACCGTAACGTACCTGGATCGAGAGGACCGTGGTTACGAAAGAAATATGAAAACAGTTGAATGATGCCTAATGTTTATTTATGGAGGGTATAATCAAATGGAATTATGTGAGTAGACAAACAGAGTTAAGTTAACATCTAGTTCATTGGTAAATAAATGAATCGCAATCATTAAAATTACGCCCAAAATAGAACCTTGTGTGAACCATCGGCGTTCACCAGTGGTGTCGTAAGCAGTTCACTCGCGACGATCAGGAGGAGAATAAAAGGAATGAAACATTCAAATATTTGCCTTTGTCAGTTAAAATCAAAACTGTTGCTTTTTTTAAAATTTCTCCGAGTTCCTGGGTATCTTAAGAAATCATACGCTACTCTCACATGACCGGAGACTACACAAATTTATTTCAATTTCTGCGCGCACTGGAAACAAGTAATAAAGATACAAGCGCTGTATGTAAAAAGTCACTTAAATTATTTCATAATATTTATCAAAATTCTTCTCCTTAAGTATAGTAAATAGAGATTAATGATATGCAGAAATGTTAACTTCTTACGCATTTTTAGATAAATCATGTGTAACTCCTTGTACTGAGAACAACTGCAATGTGGTAAATAACAGTTCAAAATTGCGCTTCTACATTATTCTTGGATAATGTAGCTTGAATGTGTGAATGCTTGAATAATGTAGCTTGAGTAATGTAATAACGCTAAAAAATATTCACGTTGAATAAATATAGATTCACTATAAAAATTGTATTTTGTTGATTATGTTTTTTCTTTATTTATTGTCGCTTGTTGCAGAATTGAATTTGAGGAAGTGAATCGTATAAATTAATTTTAGCTCCCTCTCTGGTATTTGAAATATTACTTCAAATACGAGAGAGGAACCTAAATCTTTGTTCGTCAAGTGTTCATGAAACTGAAAGAAAGATAAAATAAATGTTTTTCATTGCACAAACGCCAGTAGATAAGAACATTTTATGTGCTAGCCAGCAATGTGCTACGACTCCGGGATCTTCTCTGCTTGAATTGTTCGGTGCTTTCCGGGATGGAGCTCATGTTTCTTAAGAGACCCGGAGTATAAAAATGCTGCCCATGCGCACAAGTTGCTCCCATTCTTTCTTTATCCTCTCTGTTGTTATTCTTCAGCTGCTTCAACTTGCTCAGTTCCCGCGGTTAAATTCCTTAGGGCCGGCAGAAGGCTTCGTGGATTGTACATTGGATTTGTTTTATTCAGGTTATTACTGGGACGTCGATGTCAATTAAAGATGAAACTACTTTAACACCACATCCATTTAAGAGGTAATATTATCACATACATCGAGAAACATGTGTCAAGACTTTAGGGCTCACAACTTTTTGTGTGTGTGTGCGTTCCTGTGTTATTTGTCCCATTACATCGCGAATTGCACTCCATATTAAATTAACACCGAACAATGTCCCAATATAATATGGTACGGATTATTAACGCAGTGGTAAAAGTTGGCAGTAGCTGTGTGCCGTAGGAAGATCTCTCCCTCCCCCCACCCCCCGCACTGCCTGACGCCAGAAAACGTGCGCAACCGTAGGCCGCAACGGATGCCCAGGGCGTCCGCGGGCGTAGGGATAGCGCTGTGGAGAATAGCGGCTTCTCGCGAGACGAGACGAGACGCGGCGCGGCAGCGCGATGCTCGCTTGTCGTCTGCACCGAAAGTTCCCGCGAGAGCTGTTTCCGAGTTGCGCGCGCGTGCCGCCTCGAATTGCCCGACACGGTTGCACGACATTGTTGTTCAACGCGGGGAATGACGCCAAACCCATCGTAAATTGGCGCAACACGCTCTTCCGAATATTTCTCCTAGTTGTGACGTAGGAAAGTATGAAAAATTACACCGAATTGATTGATTTATTGATTGTTAGATTTATTGATTCCGGGCGCGTCAACTAATAGTCTCGTAAGTGTAGTGCATGTTTTATCGAGGGATATGGCGATTTTCTTCCGGCACTGGATGGCGAGATCCAACGGCGAACAACCCATCGTCTTCCTTAACCAGGTGCAGCTGTGTGGGTTTGCTCGGGAGGTGGCAGTAGTCCACTAGCGGTCCGTGGCCCGTTTGTTGTGGTACTGCTCCGCCATTCACCTGGTGTTGATCGGAGAACCCAAAGAAAACTACCGATCAGAACAGCCGGCCGTTAGAATTTTCCTCCAGGCAGCGACTGAATGATAAAGGAAATAGAAAGTAATTAACGCGTGTCTTCTGACTTTGTCTTCTTTATGGATCGAACGATTACGCGCACGTAGCTACCGGCTAAGCCTGTTAGAGAACTGTTGCCTCTGCAGCGGCTCTGACCAGGATACCCTAGGGTTCAACTCCCAGCTGTGGCAAATTTTCGACACTAGATAGATTGAATCCAGCCGCTGTCTGGAGAAGAATTCTATATACTCCCTGCAATGATCGGTAGTTTTCTGTTATTTCTCCGATTTAGGTCAGCCAAATGTGACGATTCGTAAATTGTGTTCAAAATGTTAATAGTTGTTTACGAAATAAATATCGTAATACATTTTCGTACTAATCGGAGATTTATAAAATATGGTTAATAGTTCGAATGTATTTTTCGTCTTCATTATGTAGTCTGCAAATTCTGCTTCTAATTAATTACGTCCCGTTTCTTTTGTTACCGCTACACGTGACCGCTAAACTACTGTTTCAGGAAAACTTTCGAAACTGTCCATGATCAATTTCAAATTTGCTACAGGGGATAATTTTAAAATGTTATCAGAACTCGAGTTATGATAAATGATGTTTGAATGATGGAATCACACCATAAAACTACAACAGCATAGATGCTAAACTTTTCTATTATGAGTCCATGGTTGCCAAGAAGAGATAAATTATTTTTCAGAAGACGATTGAGATTCGAACTAGGATAACTTACATATATCTTCTGACGGATTCCAAGATCATATCAATGGTATTATGTTATGCAAGACCCTATTTGAATTCCTATTAACGATGTAAAGAAAGGCCCCGCAAACACATTTTTCGCGTGTGCTAGCGTCGGAAATCCGCCCCCGACTGGATAGGAAGTCCAGGGCCTCCGGGTCAGAGCGCCGCGGCGGCATCCTGCCAAAACAAAAGAAGTTGCTAAGATTGAAGTTGAGGCTATGGGCCGCGCATTGGGGCCGATGTTGCGCCTGCCTCGAGTGTCGCCGCCTGTGCGCTGTGCGTGGCACGGAGAGCGCGAGGGCAGCGCCTGGCGCCTGCGCAACACGGCTCCCGGCGCTGAGGGATACTGTGTCGAGCCGCTGCGGCGTCGGGTTCCCCCGCGATGAGCGCGAGTCCCGTCTTCTCGCATTTCGCTTGCCCTCGTTCTCCACGGGCTGGCTTTGCCTGCGCCCTCTGCTGGCTGCTTCAGGCGCTTTCACCATTTCACTTCATCCTATTCATTCATATCAATCGAGTCAACTGCCCGTTCGTACTAAACGAGTAATGCTCCCGTCCGTCATTCACAGATCGACCTCTTCCGGTCAACCATTCAGAAGCAATAAGACCCTCATTCGATGTGACTCGATCTAGTGAGAGGGAGTAGTATATCCCTACTGATCCAACGAGACAATTCTAAGACAACCATAAAAACTTTTTTTCCCTTCTGGATGCTTTTGAGTGCAGTTTCCAGTAAGGCTTTGAAGGATGACTTCCTTTTACCCGGATGTCAATATTCTCGCTAAGATCGCACTGGATATCCCACGACATTCACGAAATGTCCTTAACACTCTGGAAAAAACCTCTTTGATCAGAATTACGATCGTAGGAAACCTCAGACTGCATTTTTCTTGAGTGGTGGCAGTAGTGGTGCAGAAGGCGTACTCATAAAATGTATCATATTATTCTTTGTTTGTAATGATCTGCAAAAGATGCCTCAGAAGCAGACCAAATCGTCAAAAATGAAAGCAAGATATGTAATGCGCGACGAATCAAACTACTGTAGTTATACATCTGCAACGAAAATCACACGCAATATGACAGTTGTTCATTTAAGCGTTGACACCGTGGTGCCGATGGCTGACGTTGTTCAAGGCGTCGGTGCTGCTTCTGCCTTTGCGGTTACGTAAAAAAATCTTTTATCTCAGAAACGCATTAGATTCTAATGAATTTGTATTTCAAAATACTTCTTTGAACATACAAGCCGCCTTATTTTCGTTCAATCACCTTAATTTACAAGCTCCTCGTGGTTGGTGCCAACATTAGCCAGATGAAGACAGAAATGATGCGCTGATAGTCATTCACACAGGTTTATCCGTGCCTGCCCGTCTGGCTAATGTGAGATCAAAACCTTATACATTCGTCATATTTCCGTCTCAACCGTGGCCTACATCCCATGTGCTCGTAGAAGCCATCTTTTGTGCGAACGAGATTGCTTCGATGTGTTTGGCCTTTGGCGTCCGTGTTCTCCGTCGCCGTCCTTCCGTTCCCCGCATCGCCCTCCGCCCTCGCGGAAGTGCTCCCGGCCTGCCCCGCCCCCCGTCCCCGCTTCCGTTTGCTTGCGCGCGTCGCGTTTCGCTATGTATGAGCTCTCAGCATGCAGGCGACGCTGCCGCCAGCAAACGAGTGGCGTATCAGGACGCAGCGGCCTTACACGAGGGGGAAATTTTAGATGGTGCAGCCGGCAGGGAGCTAGGTTGAACAAATCATGGCCCTACAATATTTTTTTATATGCGAATACTTTTCTGTCTGCAGATGTGTTACCCTGCAGGATAAATATCCCCAAAACTATTAAGAGTTTAGGGACACAACCTTGAGAAAGATGGGATTTTATTCCTTATTTGTTTGTTTTTTGTAATAACGTAACCTTCCTTTTTAGTCAGTGTCAGTAAAAGACGTTGCTTTTAGAGCATGCAAAGCGTGCTTAAAGTTCCATATTTAGCACGGGTGCTAAGTCTGAATAATAAGTTAACTGCAAAAATTGAAGGACGACTTGTGTTTTACGGTAGAAACAACATGATCACAAATAGAAGTAAAATATTCGTTAAATTCCGTGGTGGTAGCGGATATCTTGTGGTAATCCACAGTATTGTAAAGGAAATAATCTCCACAAAGTTTCCACAAAGCAACCACATGTGCCTTTGACCACATGTGAACATTCATGGGAGATCCACGTTGCTTGAGCAGTAAGTTATTTTCTTTTTAAAACTGTTTCCCGAAAGTTAACTCTGGAAAATTGTTAATAAAATTATTAAAACTTTGTGGAGATTATTTCCTTTACAATACCAAAATATTCGTTAATCAATTTTGGAGATAGAACTTTTTCGGACCCACCAGAAATCTTCCCGGATCTCCTGAAGTTCACAAGCCTCGCCTTTTAGCACTCTTGGCCTGCGAAAAGTTTTCATTAAAAATACAATACAATGATGATTCAACATATTTGTGTTCATTTCTAAGAAAGGATTTTTTTAAGAAAAGGTGAATATTATTTTGAACTTAATAGTAGGTAACTTAATAATTTATAGTAAAAAAGGCTTATTCCTCTTTCCCTTTTTATTAAAATTATCTTCTTTATAATTCTATGAAGTTATCTTTACATATTTATTCATCAGGATTAAAGCATATCATATTTAGTATGAAGTTCCTAACTTTTGAAAGGATCACGAGATAACTTCTTTGATGCCATGTGTTATAGAAAAGTACTTCTCATTTTGAGGGGAAACTTTTTCATTCGGTTGTGTAAAGATGAGTCGGGAATTAGTTCCAAAACTTTCTTTTTCTTTCGCTTACTACTTCGTAACTCAATACTTTTTCCTTAAGTAATTCTGTCAAGTTATTTCAGTTCGTTAATCTTCGCGCAACAAAATCCCAATTCATATTAATTTATTCAAAACATTTCTAAAGTTTGGATAAAAATGAAGATTTTAGGCTAACAAATAAGATTCGTTGAATAATTTGGGGCACTAACAACTGTAACACCAAATGACAAAAGTAACACTTTTTCTAAAAAATACATTAAACGGCTATATTGTGAAGAAATCAGCTCCACGTTCAGCACTGACCGATCGCCACAATCGTTCACTTTGAATTACCAGCAAAGCCTTATCTTCCAAACTCTTCCGCAGATAAGGAGTTAAGGAACGCAGAACATTGGGAAATAATTGCATAAGCAATATTGTGAATATTTTTAATAGTTTCTGATTGTATTTTATCAGTGTAGTTGTCGGAAGCTGAAAGGGCTTCAGTGCAGCTGCACTCCGTGGCGTCACCCGGGCAGCCAAGACCACGCCCGTGACTCTGGCCGCGGAAGCCCACAACTTCATTTACTGGCAAAGTAGTTGAGAAGGTGTACATATTGATAGAGAGAAAGTATTCTATGTTCCCAATACTAAAACGGGGACAGCTGGCAGCGAGATATTTCTAAAACCTAGATCCAATATGCGATAGAGATTGTTTTATTTATGTGGACCTCGTTTATGTCATTTTTCATACTTAAAGTTTTGCTGTGCGTTCTGGTATTAAAAGAAATATATGCATTAGTGAATACAGTATTTTGTGATAATAAGGACATTTAAGAGCTGGCATGAATGGTAGGGGTATCGGTCTAAGTGATTAAGAGCTGGCTGCAAGATTCGGAGTGTGGCGAAATCGAATAATGTCCTGGACAAGAACAAGATTTCCTTGTCTTTCAAATATGTCTCGAAAAAGGACCTCGCATTCTGCTTATCGCATTGGTGTATAGCGTCTAGAATTGTGGAGAGTAAATATCTCCTGCCGCAGAAGCCCTAACAAAAAAATTCAAATCGGTATTAAATGATTTGTAGATGTTCATTAAATAAACCCACAACTTCTTTATCTCGTATTAAATTTTTATACCACATGTTAACATGCCCGTAGAATATATTCAGCCTTATTAAGATTTTTTTCGTGCCTAAAAGTTGTGACCGCACTGGCGTCTTTTAAAAGTCTTCGTTTCTTATCTTTCTGTGACTCTTCCATTCTACTGACTTGAGATCCAAGAAGCTCGTGTTTCTACTGTTTGAAGCTTGATACTTTCATTTGGTGGACTCTTGAGATCCAAATTTGTTACTAAAATGAACCCAGAACTTCTCTTGTGTTAAATTTGTATTTCATACATATACGGGCCAAAAATCTCGAGTCCATTTAGAAGCATTTGTTTCGGATTCAAGGTTCAGTGACGTTTACTCTGGAAATGAAAAATTGTCCCTTTTGTTTTGAAGTTTATTTATTTATTTTATTTACGTCAAAACAGTCAAAAACTGTGTGTTGTATTATGGGTTAATTTGAAGTTTCATTTATGTCCAGAAGCAAAACAAGGGGCTATTTCAGCATTTGTTCAAGGATCAGGGTAACTGCGCAAAAACCTGATCGAGATGGGGTCAATAGACCCAGAAGCAGAAGTAGAATACTTGTTACAGTTTCTTTAGAATTATACATCCAAATGTTAAATAATATATGAAATTATGTTGTTAAAATTAATAATACTTTCCTTTTAGATGCTTGAAATAGTCTCTAATTGTACAGAAACAGTTGTGCAACAGAAACGATTTTATTTGGGACTTCAACTTTTGCATCGAATTTAATCGTTAATGTCATCTGGCAAGGAAAAGTAAAATAATGTACATGCATTGTATGTGAATTTTTTGTAGTGACCTCTTGATACTGACACCTGATATGATTACTACGTCGAGAGTTGTAGTTATAAATATCAGCGTTTGCTGAAAATATATTTCCACCCTTAAGTAAGTCATTTTTGGCAAAAACCACTTATTCATATATCAAGAGACAAGGTAATGGTAAAATATCTAGATTAATAAAAAGAGGGTTACAAGAATCACGTGGGTGAGATTACATTATTACTTGCACAATTCTTTTTTTGTAATGTAAAAGTCTGGGAGCTGTAAGATGTATTTGCCCAGAAAATTAGGCCATGTCGCAGAGAATGTGCAGTGTCGACGGAGTCCCGTATTCTGCCAACGCGTGGTCGTAGGGACTCGCCAGTGCAAAATGAGACTAGTGCCGAGTGCTTTTTTGGAGGGGGAGGGGGAATGTAGAGGGTGCATCGGGCAGAAGAAGTCGTAACAATATTAATTAAAAACTCTATTAGAGTTTGATAGAACTTTACTGCATGAATAAACGAGAGCTTTGTTTGAAGTTAGTTGTTTATTCACACATGAAGTCAACTTCAGTCCAATTAAGGGTGTAATGTCCGCGTATGAGCATTTGTGCTATTCTTTTCCTGGAAATAAATACATTCCCTTGCCATTGAAGTGCGTTGTGTTGCCAGAGAGACTCGTATTGTACTGAACTCACATCCGACGAAAGTGCAAGTGTCTAATGTGTGATTCACTATACATCGCATTTAGTTACTGTCTAAGGTTATAAAACATACTAATAAAAATATATTTCAACATTTTTCTGAGTATTTCATGCAATTTTACTACACTCTCAAATAATTTCAGAACAATTTCCGTGGTTACTTTTTTAGTTACATGTAAGCGATTGTGTTCATTTTATTGGGAGCGAATTTTCAGCGCTTTCAGTTACATTGTTCGTTAGCACTCGTAATTATTTGACCCTTGTCTTTAAAGAGCGTTGTGTTGTCACAGGGTTTTGTGTTTGGCTGATCTCAGATTTAAGGAGCCCGCAAATTTAGTAGTGTTTACCGTACGGTTCAAGATGCACTTCAGTGATAGATAAGGCTAGCCCTAGAAAAAGCCCCAGCAGAAACACACATGAAAAATAAATGTGCCGGTGATCGAACTCCTTAACAAATCTCCGTGAATTCATGGAAGTTAAACAGCTTGCCACATCGCCCTAAACTATTGTTTTTGTTCTTTAAGGTCGCATCAACTTCTAGGTCATTAGCGACCACTATTGCTTGTAACGGTATGGTAACTGTGAGGATGTCACGATTTGGTGGTGATAGGGAGTGAAACGACGAACAGAATACAACCATGCCCGAGGCGGGATTCGAACCCGCGATCCTTCGGTCCGAGATCGCTACGGCAGTAGTACTGTAGGCCATCCCGACCGGCGCGAAACGATATTATAATGCTGTAGAACTTTATTGCGTAAATAAACACTCAATTTTGTTCTTTAGTTAATATTTTATCTTAACACCTGATCGGGTGACCAGAAGACCGACATTCGAGAATATGTGACATTTATTACATAAAGAAACCCAAACCTACTTTCCCTGGAATCTTTTTTTCACAAGTAAGGGTCATTTTTTTTAGTTTATTCAGAACTCAATGTTCTACGCACAATTTTTGGTGAACTTCCTAATATTTGCCTATTGTCTTTCTTGCATATGTGTGCGTGATAATTTCTAAAGACCTCACTTTCTATTCACTACAATATTGAAGGAGCCCGCAAATGTGTTAATGGCTATGTTGTATGGTCCACCCCTCTTGAATAAAGATACCAAAAGGCGTTGGCTGGCAAATGTCGCCACTGAAACGTACTTCAAACACGACTTTAAAATCTCCTAGAGCTTTGTTACAAAAATTAATCCAGAGCTTCTTTTTCTGTATATATTCCTTTTATTCTTACTCGAGCGAATCATTTTTTTAGTCCGTTTACATGTGACTGTTACTTTCGAAACATGTGGTAACCGCCATTATGTTTATCTTGTCTTTGTTATCTGTCGTGCGCGTGTGTTGACACGGAAGACCTCGCGTCCTGTTCACCCTATTATTCAAGGACCCCGCAAGTGTGTCAGTGGCCAAGGGTTCGATTCACCCCAGCGGGGGGAAAATAGAAATAGCTTCGTCTGGGAAAGTCAGAAATAAAACATAAATTGAAAAACTTTGTTAGAACTTTATTCCGTAAATAGCTAGTATTTATTTTTCTGCAGCTATATTTTATTAGCATGCGGCTGAGTCAATAGACTCGGTCCGTTTAAGAATATATCTTTCGCACTCACGATTTTGTAAACTGCTTCCTTCCACTGGGGGAAAAATAGAAACAGATCCCACTGGAAAGTCACAAGTAATACATAAACTTCAAAACCCTCATTAAAATACCTTGAACTTTATTACGTATATTTGTCTTAAGCTATCATATTATTCACATGTGAACGAGTGAATATACTCTGTCTATTTGGGATCGAATCTTCCGCGCAAGATTTAGTGACCTGGTTGGTTCTATTTGCGTTGATGCCATATTTCCTCGCAGCAACCGCACCGCTTGCGTGCGCAACTCGCTGAATAATTTCCGAAGGAAATTGCCACCTCGACGATCTTCCACGCAAGACTTCTGCGATCAATATTTCAGCGCGAACGCTCCCAGCCGCTCAATCCTCGCTCATTAGCTGCTCGTTGGGAACGGAAAGATTGAATTATTTAATAAATAAAGGACACCGAAAATATTAATTAGTTCTAAGAAGAAAGGTTTTGTTGAAGAAACACATTGCTTATCGGGTGTGCTTTATTAATGAGCCCTTTTAAACGTTGTAATGAATTCATGGGGTTTAAAAGATTTTAATAAACGCCTTGCAAGGGATAATAACACGTTTTGTGTGTACAAGTGTGTGTTATGACCTTGCAAGTTGATTGTTGTGTATAATGAATGGGGTTTTATAGATTAAAAAGCATTCAACAAATTAAATCAATGCAAATCCAAGCTCAATACGCAATGACAATAAAAATGCATCATGGTTAGTTACAATCTTCACAAAAAGGTTAACAAAGAGAGAATATCCACACACATCATCAAATGATGGGACGGCGGGGATCTAATGAATTATATCTTTCGTCCAACTTCTATTTCCTTTCTTACACAAATATATCTCCAGCTCTAATCTAATTGTTCAAAAACACAATCCGAAATACACGAATAAAAATAAATTCCTCCTTCATATATTTTTTAAAATGTTTTCCGGGCTGGATTCAAAGTCAATGCCACATATTAGTCATTTAGATATAGTTTTAAGTCAACAATCAATGTGTAAAGTATTAATGAAACCGAATCATGTAATTCCAAGAAAATTTGAAATAAAAGGGCGCTTATTTGGCTATCTTGTGAAACAATAAAGTTCAAATATTTGTAATATGTCTACGAATAGGAGTAGCATTATTCACGGAGTGGGGAGGGAATGCGTATTCGTTTGACAGAATTAGCAGGTAGTGAGATGTTCTCTATTATTATTTAATGAAATGTATGTACTACTCCATGAAATATATGTATGCTACTAATACGAGTACAATGTTTTACAAATTTATATTACACACATCATATTGTGTTTGTGTATTTTTGTGCATATACACGAGTATTACCGTGCGCTTTCATATTTGTGATTACATACAAAGTTTTACTAGCGTGTATATGTGTGCGCTCAACATTAAGAGAACGTACACATTTATGTTGATATCGTGTATGCGAATATATTTTCGATCGCAATTTAGAAAACGTGCATATTTCCGTTTGGGTAGATTTTTCAGATTGAAAAAAATTGTCAAGGAAATATCTCTAATAATATCAAATAAGTATATTTATCTCTTTTTTATTAACGATTCGTTTATAATTGCGAATAGCTCTTAGAAAATATATATAACCACGCAAATGCCAACATTACTACTTTAATAAAATTCGCGTACTGTAAGAAGTTTTGACCTAAAAACATTTATTCGCTCATTTCGGTAGTGGCCAATCAAACTGTTTTGTGGCTGATCGAATGGTTTTGGCATGGTTTCATCACAGACCTTTTTACAAAGAGTATACAGCGGGGATCTAAACTGCGCCTACCCCAACTGTTCTGGTTTACACTACAAACGGGATGAATAATAATGATGGATGAAATGGAATGTCACATTTAATGGGGGTAAGAAATGGCCTTGAAGGGATTTATTTTGGGAAAGAAATGTTATGAAGGCGATCTAAACGTTCTTATGCACACACATAACTGAAAATGGCCGATAACTAAGAGCAATATCTTATCCCATCGGCAGCCTATCCCGCGACCTTCTAATATCCAGGGAATGCTTTGACCGCAGTGATGTTAGCTAATGAAGTGTGGGTCATCCTGTTACGTTTATCATCACCCATTTGTACTATATTACGCCCTGATCGCATGGAAGATCGTTAAATTGACACGTAGTATGTAATGTTTGATTCCATACTCCAATTTGTTAGAACATCTGCCTTGATAAAGGAGTTGGTTCTGATGCGATCAAATATTGATAACCCTGATTTAGCATTCCTGTGTCGCACAGGTTAATGTCATGAAATCTCTTAGAACGTGACATCCTCGTCGTCTGGGCCTAAGGAGTTGCCTAAGAGTCAAGGGTAAATATATGGAGCAAATATAAAGAGCATTTGTGACTTTTTTGTTCAAAATTTTCCAACATATCGCACGGCCAATATAAAACTGTCATAACGCAAAAACAGCATATTTGAGGGGGGGAAATTTCTTTTTCATACTGTTGCTATATTAACAGGAACTGTCGGGTGATCCATTTAGGGAAATTTTCCGCACTAGGATTTCGGCGTTTGTGATAAAGCCTAGAAACGCGAAGCGGATGGTGTACTTTTTGCGTTATGACGCTTTTTGGAGGCTGTGCCGTGTGTTGGCGTGCGCAAAGAGGCCGTGTCGGCGCGTGTGTGCTGGCAGAGCAGCGCGGAGGAGAAGCGGCTGCTGAGCCTGGAGCGGCTGCTGCGCGTGTTCCTGCCGCCGGCGCTCGCCAAGGCCACGCGCGCCAAGGAGGTGCAGGCCATCCTGCTGTTCGCCTCCATGCTCGCAAAGGTAGGCCTACTCCATTGATTGGCCCTTACACTGTGCTTGGGGTCGTTTTGCAACTGCATGGGTGAGTCCCTCCGGCGCACCGACGTTTGCTCGTTCTGCGCAACACCAGTCTGCGTCACGAACCACGTGACCACAGCACGGGCACTTTTGGAAAGTCAGACCAGGCGCTGGTCGCTGTGGCGAGCGAGAAGTGTTGAGAAACATTTTGGAAATGGTAGAAAATAACAATTTTCAACGGTAATCAACCAAAAATAACACTGTGAAGGTGTACAAGATGAAATATTGAAAAGAAATGCTTCATAAATCTGTTTCAATATCTTGTAATAACGTAATACTTTTGGTACTAGATTGCATTTAAATACGCACTATTGTGACGCAAACTGGTGTCTGAAGCTCATTGGTTGAAGTCGGATTCGATACGCAAGATCCGCTTTCCTCTTTTGACCACAGGGACAAATAATGTTTTGCAACTTTTTGAAAATTATTCACATTAATTTCTCCTTTTAGTTATGCTATTTACGTTCAGTTTTACATGTTTTGCAACCATTTCAGTTTTCTGAGTTTGCTTCTTTGTAGTAAATAATTTGATTTGTATGCGATTGTAGTCAAAATTAGATATCAAATGCCACATCTGATATCTAAATTACTAGGAAAATTCTAAAAACGTGTCCATTTCCGTTTTATAATATGTTGCGGTTTCTAAGTGATAATTAGGTGGGTCTTGTTGATTTGATAACCGTGTTATAAACAGTCTCATACTGTTTAGATACAGACCTATGTATAGCGAGAATGTTTTTTTCTAGAAATAACATTATTCTTTGTTATTTAGTACAATGTAGTAAATAAAGCAAATAAATAGCATCGTTTTCTCAATTAATAATTCCAAATAACTTTTGCACCAAATACTTGTAATGTGTAAAACGTTTGGGGACAAAAAGACCCCAAACAGAGTCCACGTAAGCATTTGAGAAACAGCGTCGAAGGGTTAATTAGTGATTTCGGGGTGCGACAATGCGAAAGTCATTAGTCCCGTAAGCGTAGTGCGTGCTTCCCCCTCGCGAAGTCACCGTTATCTTTCCTCGGCTGAATGGCGAGATCCGGCGACGATCTTCACGACGCCTTGCGGGGTAATCCCCGCCCAAGTATCTCCCCCGGCGGAGCACCGCCCCGGCAGCGACAAGCTCAGAGCTCACGACCGGCTTCCCAGAATGGGTGTTGGTGTAGTGCTTGTTAGTGTAGTGCTTGTTAGTGAAAGGGGCGAAAGTAAGGGGTGAGAAACGGACGGGGAAGAGGAAGGAAAGATTGCGCGCGGTCAGGCGGCCGCTTTTTTAGTACACTGATCCTGCCACGAAAACCACGATAAACTACCGATTACAAAAGCTGGCCGTTAACATTTTCTTCGACCAAGCCATGGCGAAAATCCTGCCACCGTCGAGCCTCGAACCCTACAACCCCCAGGTCAAAGGAACTGCAGACATTAATTGATGCCCTGACTTATCTAAGCCAGTAAACACACAAAATTGCTAATTGTGGTTTCGGTGGTAACGGTTAGCCTCTCGGACTGATGTACCGACGTTTTCTGATTGCAAACACAGTTGAAGCTGTGGATTTTTAAGGGCGAAACAAAATCCTTCCTACGGATGTCTTTGGAGGGGAAGTAAAGCCGACAGTCCCATGTTACATATTTACACCATGTAAAATCTCAAGCCTAGAAGAAACCTGTGAGCAAAATTCGAATTGTTTGTTTCGTCGATCGAGTGATAGCTTGCTTCTCCGCTACATGGCGAAAGGAGCGTTGCGACATTGGCGTGGTCGGAACGTAAAATAAGGCGTCGCTGAATTGATTTGAATCTGCGGGACCCGAGTTCAAAGCTGGGGATTTTTAACTGGCTACGCCCTATCCAGGTCGATCCCGAGGTGTTCTTAGTCTCTTTTCAAAATTAGTACCAAAATGTACTGGGTTTCACAGAAAATATACACTACAGAGGGCACATGATACACCATCTCTCCACGTCCAAAAAAGTCAGTAACATATTTTATGACTCATTACTTATGACTCAAACGAATATAGATTGTTTTACTACATATACCCCAAGAAAGACGTATTTGCACTACTTAAATGTACACAGGTTAACATGTAGATGGATAAATTGAAAATAGGATCGTTCAAGAAATACGTTCACATTTCTGTAGGAGGGCGTTGCCCTTATTGCTAGGAAGTTGAATGGTGGTGTGCGGGCATTCATTGAAAAGTAAGCATACGCTACAAAAACGTGTAGCTGATCTGAATATTTTTGAGTAAAACTGACCCAAAGTGAGTCTTAGTGGAACACTTTTTGTCATAATAATATTATAAAGCAAACGAATCGTAACCTAGAAAGTTTAGCTGTCACCCGAAGCCGCGCTTGGAACGTGTTATGTGAGTGATACAGTGAAATTGTCCACTGAATATTCAAAGGAAAACTTATCACTTTTGACCTCTCAGCATTCCCTAGAAGTACGCAGTATTTATTTTGACACTTCGTGAATACCCCTTCATATGCTGTATAATTGTGTAACATCTTGAGACACTAGTACTCGTATATTCTCATTTTTTCATTCCTTAAATTTCGTAAATAACAATAGAAAGTTAACGAGTAACATGCATTTTACATGAGTTCAGTATTGTGATTGAAGCACGCAATAATCGTACATGCCACAAAAATCAAGCAATTACCTGGCAATTGTTTGGTATCAGACCCCACATCACTGTAATAGCCTTGAAACGTCGATATGCACACTTTTATTATGTACTCTTGAAGTTCGAAATCCGGTTTGTGGTTAATCTCGAAAACTGCTCTTAACTTTTATAGTGAAGAGCCTTAATTATTGAGAATCTCAACCTTCGTTTTGATACGATCTGAGGTTAGACACATTCTGATTTGTTAATATATGTGTCTCAAAATATGCATAATTGTAATTAAACACACCAATTTATGGATGGACATATTACTGCTTACTAAATTATGCAATAATGAAAGGGTTTTCATACTATTGTGATATAAACATAAGTCATATAGTTGATATATCTAAATTCGTGCGAAACTTGAGATATAAAAAAAATAACCATAATTAAACTGAAAAGCATAATGAAAATGATAAAGATTAAACTGATAAAGCATAAATAAAAATGTGTTCAAAGTACCCGCAATGCAATGTGATATCGGGTGCGATATTTAGACCTTCAAATACTTTATAGCTGGCATGCGCCCCTTTCAATAAATACACTCATGCTCTTTCCGCAGTTTTTCTTCGTACACAGCCTGACTCAGCACGGCAGATGCAAATGACGTGTAGTTTAGCATGTAGATCCCGTATACACACCCGATCCTTCATACTCGAATCATGCCGAGTATGAAGCAAAAGTGAATGACCAGTGTATACGTCACTGCTAGATGTATTGCCTACACTGGCACTCATGCAGTCGTTTGGTCTTCTTGTTATCTCGCAGGGCCTGGATACTTCAGATACTTTTTTTCTTGGCTTATTTCTTCTTCACTATCGTATCTCATATTCGTCTAAAAATGTCATATGATAATTCTTTAATAGATATAATATTTTACGCGTTTTGTGTATTCATGCGTTAGGAAACATGTAGTAAGTTGCAGCACACTATTTCTTTGTATAATTTACGATTTATTTTCAAAGTGCTAAATACTTCGAAAAGGAAGCGAGTAGCTGCGGACTAGATGAAAAAAATCCAAAATGACACAAACTGTTCCTAACTGCCCAAACCGTGGTGATGTTTGTTAATTCCCTTAGAATGTTGGTTTAAGAGCTTTATCGAGTTTACAACCGCAACGAGTGCAAATTCGCATCAAGAGTGAAATCAAGTACTGGAAATCATGTTTTTATAGAACAAAATTCAATACGCCCCGTGTTTGCTAAAAAGAGTCTACCAACTAGATTTAGATGTCAATTAAAGAAAATATGCCAAATTAAAACATTGTTTACATTCAAATTAGTGAAGATTTCTTTATTTCTGATCGTATGCAAAAAACAAAGAATACTGAACAATTAAAATCTTAAAGAAAATTTTGCAGCTTGCTTCATTTGTTTTATACAAGTGTATGAATGCCAACATTAAAAAAATGACTACTAACAGAAGAGAGAGAGAAATCACACAATTCTTAATTTACGTAAAATAGTAAATATAACGTTGACTGTAGTAATGTAATATTGTACTATGCTCAATGCTCACATATCTAGTTAGTTACACAACTACAGAAACTTTTAATATTTTTAAATCGGTATCGAGCCTAACTGAAATAATACCATGAATTTTTGTTGAATTACACAACAAATAAAAACCCAAACAATTATAAAATGCATAGATACTATTTTTGTGTTTCTTCGTTCCTAACAAACGTCATAACTGTAATTCAAATAATTTAGCGAACTTGGTATAAATGTATCACTTGGTGTCGACGAAACTGAGTACGAAAATTAATGTGTATGTTACTGCTTTAATAATAATTCGCTTTTGTACTTTACGCATCGACAACGCTTAACAAAAAATGAATTTTCCACAACATGCTTTGGATTGTGTTATTTACATTTATTGTGAACATTTATTTCATTTTGTGATTAACGTAACATAGCTCTACGCATTTGAATAATTAATGGTCATAAATTATACACCAACGAACTATGCAAGCAAATGCGTTAAGCCGTGAAGCCCATTGCTGACATGATGTGTGGGTTTATCTGATCACTTGTCAAACAGCTGACTTTCCGTTCGTGAAGAGCAAACTTTACTAATGGACGTTGCAATGAGGGAAATTTGACTTCCATCGATGTTCATCACAATTGAGTAATGCATTCATGTTGTTGACAGTCAAACTTAGGCTGGCGAAGATCTTCAGAATTTGGAAAACATTTTTTTCAATATTTAGAGTACGAGAGATATCTCAAATACAGAGTTTTGTTTAAATAAGTAAGTCAGAGATACATCTTTGTATTATTAATGTACATAAAAATAGATTTAGAGAAAAATATAAAGTTTTTGTAAATTCAAAAGACTGAATCTTGCTTGTTTAAGGAAAGGGCTGATATATTCACGATTTTGCAAATAATTGAAAACCAACTGAAACAAATACAATTTTTTTTTATTGTGAATAATATTTAAATAAGAAAAAAATCCCAGAACACTGCAGAAAAATAAATTACTTGAACATTTTTCGCTCTCGATTTTCTTTCTCGACCATACGCGTGTCCAACGTACGCGCAAATCTTCCTTCTCATTCACAGAGAGAGCACTTAAATTTAAAAGAAAAACTCTCATAAAGTCGTATATGCACAACACGCCGTATTTCACGTAAACATGTTCTGCGAGTTATTCGCTTTTGATATTAATTTTGCAAATTCTGCGATAGAATCCGCAATATTTTTTGTTTGGATATTCATTCTGCTGTGTTTTTCTCTGGTCTGGACAAACATGTTTCTAACTTTTTCAATAACGTACGTATGCTGTATGCAAATTAGCGTAGTTCTTCTGTTGAATATTCGCTGAGGAATTTATTAACGCTGACGAGTGGAAAAACTCGAAATCCACGACCACAAATATTTCTTCTGCGATATGCCAACAGAACATGTTGGTAGAAAGTTTAAGAATCCGAGGGTTGGGACATGTTATAGCAATCTTTTTTGTAGAAGAAATATTATGCAACCACATAATTTTATTTATCATCTGAAAGTAACTTGTAGTCTGATGTACTACTGTGTTTTCACTACAACAGATAGTTGTAAACACACAACTCTGTCACTCTTAGTACAGAGAAAATTTGACTATTGCTGTACGAGAATAATGTGACCTGTTTGCAGCAGCGCTCATTCACCAAGATATCCTTTCTCCATGGAAGAAATGCTCTAGAATGTCACAGGGAATTTGTGGAAGCTGTTGGGAATAATGCCCTTACCTACTGGACAGTCGCGAGATATCCAAGAGTGCTTCAGAGAGGACACTTGGCAACCTGTAATCAGCAACGCAGTCACACACAGTTCCGTACGAGCCACACTCTGCCATCCTTCCTCTTCCCTCATTCGCAGACATAACTTAAGCCTAGCCCTCTGCTTATATAAACGTCTTTGGCTCAATGCTCTTGTCTAGACCAATTCTCTTTGTTTCTGACCACTGTCCTTTGCAGACTCTTCCGTTAGTTCTTTCCTCTTTGCAATGGTTACGCGTTCTAGCTAGTGATTACACTCTGATGTTTCGTTCTCCGGTTATCGTATGTTCATACTCATGATAAATCTAGGTTTTTATTTCTAATTACAGTCTGGCTGTAATTCAATTAAAAATAACCTAGAAACTTAGCTATCGTAGCATTGCTTAGTCACAGTGTTGAAATAAAGACATTATAAATACTATACACATTTGCTTTTCCACAATTTTAGATGTTTGAAATGAATAACGTACAGGGGCTTTTTCGGGCTTTAATGGTAAATATAAAATGTATAATAATAGTGGGGCATACTAGTACAAAACCGCAACGTTTCTTTGATTTTAGCTCTACATAGAGCCAGACATTTTTCAACAAAAATTACATTCCTCGCCAGTTGACAATCGCGCCCGCTTCCTCTGGGAGTTGGGCGGCAGCGCGCGGCGGCGCGATGTGGAAGAACTAATTTAATTAGCAGTGACTGCGCCGTGCGGCGCGCCGCGCTGCGCTTCTAATATCGGCAGAGAGCCCGATCAGCGGCGGGGGCGGAGCTCATCTCGTGAGTGGCGCTCGCAGGGCAGGTGACTAACGCGCTGCGCTGCAGATGGAAAGAAGCGCCGGGCGCAGCGGTGGGCAGCGGCGGAGAGGAGGTGTGGGAGACGGGGTGGTGCAGGGCGAAGCGGCCAGAAGCCATTGTCTGGTGGGTTGGAGTGAGTAGGGAAGAAGTAGGTAAAGAGGGTGGCGGGGAGAGAAGGGGTGAGGGGGAAGCGGGGGTCGGGAGAGGAAGAGGCGGGTTGAGAGGAGCTGGGATGGGTTAAGGGGAGGCTTGGTGAACAGTTGCGAAATGAAAAAGGGTGGAGTGGAGTGACATGTGGTGGGGCGATCCAGGAAGAACGGAGGGGCGAGGCGAGGCGAAGCGGGGCAGCACAGATAGGAACAACGCGATGCAGGAGCTGGATTCCGACGGGAAAGGTGCAACCAGAAGAAATGGCCTCACGGGGGGAGGGCTCGCTCTGGCTTTTCGGCCTGTAGGGGGTGTTGTCTCGCCGCCCCGCCACGGCTTGCCTCTCCCCTATCTCTCCCAAAAGGCCCCCGATGCCTTGGCTCTTTCTTTTTGCAGTCTCCCGATGATGTTGTAACAGTGAAGGTTTCGGTTTTAACCTTTGGGAGCTAGGATTCAAATTTCTGTGAACCTAGTAAGCGGCATCATGTGATGATAATCATAACTTTTTATTCTATACTCGAGATGTTGTCTTTTGCTTCACGCAGGCCCCGAATGCCTCTGAGCTACGCATGTTATTCATGCTGCATCACATTCAGAGCTCTGTACTGACAAAAGGTGTCTCTAGTAACACTTCTCAACGGTACATCTATTTTTATAGCATTATCTGGATCTCGTATTTCTTATAACTTTGAACAAACAACAATGTAAATAATGTTAGTTAAGCATGTCACTTTACCCCGATGCAACACAAGAGCTGCCAATGCTTTCCATGCAGTTGTCGTATTTCAGGTGACACGTGTTGCGATCAGAGACCTCTTCGTGTAATTTTTGGGAGACAGAGCGCGTTTATGGGGTTTCTTGGAATCCTTGAAACAGGCTCTCGGCTGTTCGCCCTCGAAGCGGCGTCACCTGCGCAGACGGATGTCTGCACGTGGCTCTGGTCGAGGAAGCGTACGATTACAGACTTAAGACGGAACCAGACGTTCGCATGTTATGATGTACGGATAAGAGCAGGGACACGTGCAACCTACAACACACTTTTCCATGGAGCATAATTCGAAGACGTTGCGTTTGAGGCCAATAACACCGTACATTCGTGTTCCCAAGGGGACACAAGTTGTTTCTTATGCCGTTATATAAACAAGCTATCATTCTGGACGTCTTTTCTGGTCGATTTTTGAAGGGGACACCCACTGTGTAGTACGGGTTGCTGAAAAAGATCGAAATTGGGTTCAAGAAGGAAACAATCTTCACTTTTAAACCAACGCTAATTAGTGATGTTCAGAGTGTTCATACTGGTTCGCCTATTAACGTTATAGTCAGCTATCCCTAAAAAGCAGGTATCCACTCCATGTGTGGTCATAAAGCTTAGACTGGGATCGTAATAAATATGTTTTCACAATATATTTATCTCCCACTGACTCTTCCTCCGTTTGACACATCCGTTCCCACAACACATTCGCAGCTCCGTGTAGCTCTCGTCATTTATGATGGCCTAATCGATTATTTTACCTCGTCGATCGCCAATGCTGACCATTTTGTCAATGCCTCCATCTCCGTATTTATTAATTATGTAGCCATCATTACTGTGCATGTCCTTCTGGTCTCCTCACAGCTGTCACTCACAGACGTCCAAATTTGAACGTCGATTCTACCATAACCTTTGGAGGTATTACCACTCAGGAATTCTCCCCGCCGTGGGAGCCCAGAGCATCAAGAAAATCATTGTTCACGACACTCCTTGCACATCGAGCCGCCCCCCCCCCCGCGCCCAACGCCCGCCGCCGCGCCCAAATGTCAGAGTCTCTCGGGAGAGCTGTTGTGCGCCGCCCCGCCGTGCCCCGCCCCTCCCCGCCGGGCCCCGCCGCGCCCTTTGTGCAGTGAGAAGACGGCTCTGCCCTTGGGCGGTCGCCCGCAGGGCGCGGCGGAGGCGGCGGAGGAAGGGCAGGGATTCAGGCGCTTGAGAAGTGGAGGAGGTGAGGGGTGGGTGCAGTTGGTTTGGGAGAACACGGTGGTAACGGGTTCGACTATTTGAAGATGGGTTGAGGTCGGGAGTGGAAGAGAGAGAGTTGTCGAAAGAGCTGGCGGGGAGTGAAGGTCGAGGACGGAGGGGACGAGGACAAGGATAGTGGGGGCAGGGTCGACGAGGGCGAGGACAGTGAGGTCGGTGGGGGGCCCCGAAAACCGGGTCGGTGGGGGAAACCACGAAAATACATACCAAGAATTAAAGTTTTAAATTAAATTTAAGTACATTTTCAGTTTACTTTACATCGGTAAAAATGAAATAAATATATATGAATTTTATTTTTTCTATCTGATAATCATTTCGATTTTTATACAAAATCACTAACATGGCCTTTAAAACTTATTTGCGAAAAATACATAGTGATTTCCACAATTCTTTATGCGTATGTCTTCTGGTAGTGAAAATGTCTCGTCAAATATGTACGTACATCACTGGAAGGTGTTCATTCTTTTATCCCAACTCACGTAGTTTTTATTACAAAAAACATTTTTTGAAGATCTAAACAGTAAAAATTACTTCTTTACTAAATTACTAAAAATTAACTTTTTAAATACGAATTTATTATCATCAACTATCTTAAAACTATTTATAGTTTTTAAATTGACTTCGTTTCCTTCGTATTAATGGAATCGTATTCCTGCCACCATGAGTAAAGTAAGAAATCTCGTTATTAAAAAACTATTTGTTTATTAAAATATTTAAATCTCAAAAGGACATTAATGGTAGAATACACATATTAGGCTCATGTATGTTACAGAAACCGTTGTTTTTTTCAGCTGAAAACACAGTGAAAAGGTTCCTTCGTGAGAGGTGGTACGGTCTTCGTGTTCGTTTTTCTGCAACGTCGTGGCATTGTGTCCGCCGGATCCCACTTGTCGAGAGGCGTGGCGGCAGATGAAGGCTCTCCGAGGGAGGTGTTGGATGGCAGGTGTCAGCTGGCGCAGAGGGGGATGATGTGCGAGAACAGCCCCAGGGCAGCTGGCGACGGGCGCCGAATTGCAGAGGCCCAGAAGTAGGTAATGAGTTGACGCCGCCAGCGGGGGGTCTGTCACGTGATCCCTCGCGAGGTTGAACCGATTCGCGGCGCGGAAGGCACTCGTCACCCGCCAGGGGGTAGCGCTAGCTTCGGCCGCGAGGTGTTCTCCACAGGACGGGAAACCGGGGCAGCGCTAAGGTTCGCCGCTGGAGTCTGTGTCAGGCTGGGGCGGGGATGCCTCAGGGAAGTGCAGTGCTGGGAGTGCAGCGCTAGTTCCTCAGGAGTGTAATTATTGTATAGAAACATTGTAAGTAGAAACATAGTACATCTGTAGACAACATCTCCTAATCTGTGTTTCGCTCGCACCACCACGTCACAGTATATACAGTCATTTATCATATTTACGCCTTACTTTCAACGATATTATCTATTGTTTCAAGACTTATTGAAAGTTCTGAAAGGCTGTCTGCGTTTATTTCCACCAGCGTTTATTGTTCCAGTACTATTTTCTGACACAAAGAAGGGCTTTGCTCACTGTTTTCAGCGACCTGCGTAAAGACTAATTGTTTAAAAGATGCCGCGTCCTGGACAATGCAATAAACTTTTTGACCGACGTGCTTCCATCTTCTTCAAAGCGGAGAGCATAAAGAAAGCAGAGGCAGGGTTGTCGAAATATGGGAACTTGGAAAAAATTTCCTGAAGATCTTATCTTGCAAATGGTCTACATCTCAAAGGAAGCTACTACTGGTTATATACTCGTAGAAGCAATAAACTTTTCGTCTGCAGTTACAATATAGAAGCGTTCATAGTAAAGAAGAAGCTGTCATGTAAGAGTGCTAATAACATTTTTATAAGAGTTTTAACGAGGACCAGAACACAAAATAGTTTGTATAAGACTTTATACCGCAAACTTCGATGCTTCTCTCCGCATTGTTGAAAACTCATAAGCCCTTGAACAGACAATCCAAAGAGAAATATGACGTTCTATGAGGTGAAGAAAATCCTGAGAGGAATTTCACACATCTTTGTTATTGGCAGTCCCCATTTCGGCGGGCGCCGTCGATAAAGGCAGCACTCGCCATCTCAACGTGTGAGAGAAGCCAACAAAAGAACAACCTTGCCTTTCGAGAAAGAAAAACCTCTCCCGGGCAGTTTTCTCGAGGTTATAACCTCGTTGTTTACGGAAGTTCTAATGGACTCCTAAGAAACTAAATACATAACAGAACAATGTATTATTGGCACCTAGGTCATCATTGGATTGATCAACAGAAAATCGTTATCCATAAACAGTGTTTCGTTTGTTTAGGTTCTATCGTATTATTAAAATGTGTGAATTACTTGAAATTTGTTCCGTTCTTATCGTGTACAGGGTCTTTATTTTATCGCGCAACTCATGGCTGCGAGTACATTCTTTTGTTATGGCTTTTCGCAATTTCGTGAAATACCTTTGGCATCCCATTCACTTTAAGCGATACTCCTACAGCGTCGTGGCCTCGGGTTTCGGGATGGGGGAATACGGTAATGTCAGAAGGAAGAAGGAAAAGTCACTTATTCCTTTCTTGGGAAATTATTGTTTCTCGTTTTATTCATCATTGTAAGACTTCACGTTTAGGAAATAATCGTCATTTCCATTATAAGGATCCAAAATATTTTTATTAATTAGTTTGAATAATTATTAATTTATTGCTATATAAGTATTAGTATTAATTTTATTAAGACGCTCTTATTTATTTAATTTCCAGTTTTCAAACCTTCCAGCAATAGGTGCACTTCCATTGATTGTACTTAATAACATTAATATATTATTATTAAAAATAATAAAGAGCTTGACGATGTGTCGCGATATATATTTATCATTTTTCTCAGACGTCGCTTTTATTAATTAATTATTTTTAAATTGCTGTTAATAAATCGATAAATGAGTCGTATCTTTTCCCCAGTCCGTGAGATAAACTGCATTACGTTCTGCTCACTGACACTTGAACTGCTGATCATGATTAAAATGTGAAAGAATTTGTGTTATCAATGTTTTGTTTATAATAATATTTTCGTAGTAATGTCATCTTGATACATTCGTTGAAATGTAGTTATTGCACCTTGATGGAAATAAAAGCAAGCAAATCAATATTACAGATGGCACATTAAATAGTGTGACTCGTCTAGTAAGGTAGATGGTTCTTGTAGCAAGTGCCTTAATTGCAGCCCTTAGTCGCGGAAGCGAAATGTCTTCCAACAGGGGCACCATCTTCCGGCCCGTCGAGTTTATCGCGCTCTTGGGAAAATATGTTCGGAGGTCCCCGAGAGGCGCCATTCCAGCGCCAACTCCCGCGGCGGCGGCGGCGGAGGCGGTGGAGACGGAGACGGGTGGAGACAGGGACACCACAGCCAGGACAGAGGGTGTAGACGGTAGTTGGGACTGTGGAGACAATGGGACAGCCGAGAGTCTACGAGACTGCTTCGAATATAGAGGGCGACAACGGACGCCTGATGTCGGGGACAGCAATGATGAGGACAGCAATGACGGGACCACTGATGAGAGGGCTAGGGAGACGAATGGGAGGCAGTGATGGTGGAGACTTCGATCACGGGGTTGACGATGATGGGTGCAGCGCTAGTGCAGACGGCAATGGCGGGGCGACGGCGGTGGGGCGTGTTTTGGCGATGGCGGGTCAGCGATGAGGGAGACGGTGGATGGCGAAGATGGTGACGGAGGGAATGGTGACGGCGCGGAAGGCAATGTAGGGAAAGGTCATGGCGGAGGCGCTGAAGGCGGGAATGGTGATGGCGGGGACGGTGGTCGCAGAGGGCAAAGGAGGGGAAAACAACGGTGGAAATAGTGATGGGGGGGGCCGGGATGACGAGGGCGGCGACGTTGTGGAAAACGTCCCCGGCCCCCCCCCCCCCCCCCCCCCCGACGTGGTTAGTCCCTGCGGCGGGCTGCTCGGCGGCGGGTGGTGTTGCTGGCGCCTGCGCGCCGCCGACTGCGTTAAAAGCTTCCACTTTAAAAGCGTCCGCTCCCCCGCCCCCCCCCCCCGCGCACGCGCGAAACACTACGCGCGTAATGCAGTTAACGAAGACGCGTCCCGCCCCCTGGGAACCACACTCCATTTCCACTGTGCACAGTGGGGCGAATGCAAGGAGACGCGTCACGTACCAAATGGTTGCGAGTGCCGAGGAGAAATTTACAGATAATTAACAAATGACTGTCGATGGAATGTTTTACATTGTGTATTTTATTCGTTGGAAAAATACATTTATTTTGAATGTTACTTACATTACATTAACTTTTTTAATTATGAAGTAATATCTTTTAGATAGTCCTCTCTACATTTCTTACCAAAGCGATTTTAAAAAAATCATAAAATTTTAAATTATGACATAAAAATGATTGTCAACCATTATTAGTACTAAAAATGTATTGTTCAGGGGAGAATCTGTGAATCACAAGATGGTAAAACAAGCTGAGAGGGCTAAATGTTCTGAATAAAATATTTTTATTCTCAAACCGGGTAGATATTTATCCATTTTGATTACTGTGATGATGATGACGACGACGACGATGTAATGGAGATCATGTAAAAATTAAGTGAAACATCTGAAGATTGTACGCAATTTAAACTAAACTCATTGTTTATTATTTTATTCATTGTGATAAACCAAAATTTTGAATAAAAGTGAATAGTGTTCTAATAATTCAAAACCTACTATTAACAGTTATAAATAGTTTCGTGTAAGTATTACTTATCCATGACTCGATTACTAATCCAAAATACTCGATTTCTTATCAACTCGGCCTTACATACATTATTGATAATTCACCAATTTATTTATTGTAGTAAGAACATTGATATTACTCATCTAGTAAGTAAAGGTCGATAGTTGTCCAAAACACTAATTTCGAAAATTTGTACCATAAGTGACACCAATTTTACATCCTTGACTTAAAAGGGTTCTTCGTGTGAAACTCTTTAGTATGCAAGTGTCAAAGCTTTATGGTCATATCTGTGAGGAAGGAATAATCATGATGAACTGGTGAATATGAATATACGAAATGAACGACGGAAGAACATGTGCATTTAATTTACACTAACTTTAATTTAAACTTGAAATGTAATGTTTGAAGTTACATTAAGTTTCATGTATAATACATTCATCAACATAGAAATGAATGACATTTCTGAGAGTGTTAAGAGAGTTATAGTTGGTAACCTTAATGTTTGATCGATATCAAAAACCCCGCATTGGGAAGACATTTTGTTGTATGGCGCCCACCGCGCGTTGCCAGCCGCGCGACTCCAACGGGTAATGGAATCAGCCGCCGCCTCCCACGTGCTCGAGCGCGGCTGAAGCCCAGACGCAGCCCCGCGCTCCGCCCGGGTAACTCGCAGGGCAGGGCAGAGCAGGGCGGGTCTCGTGGGCTCCCAGCCGCACGACGCCAGCCGGCTGCTCTGGGCCTCCGCGCGGCGCTGCTGGCTGCGTTTTCACGGCCTAGGTTGCGTATTGTTTTGTCCCGCCGGAGGTATAGTTTGCGGAGATGTAGTTTGCGGGCAACAGGAGTTAACCTCCGTTTTCACGTTTTAAACTTTGTTTCAAGTAATTATTCCCATGCTTCGTCTGCTTGTTTACTCTACCCTATTTGCTCACCTGCCCGCGCCGCCCTACCTTCCTGCTCTGCCCAGCGCCGCCCCGCCACTTACACGTACATGATCTGCGCTACCCCACATGCCGGGAGACCGGTCGGGAGCTTAGAGCTTGTTCAGGTGCCCCGCTGGTGGGAGATACCTGAATGAGGAAAACTCCGCTCGCCCTCCATCCGAAGAAGATTACCGCCACCTCCGGAGGGAAATATATGCACTACACTTACGGGAGTAATGACTTGACATGACTAAAGAAGACATGTGAAGCGACTGCCTCATCCACGTTAGGGATGCGACATCGATAACAAAACATAGATGTATAAAATTAAAACATCGATGTTAAAAATACATCGACGAAAAACTATCAATGTTTTTCAAGATAGTGTGCAATAAAATTCAATTTGACAGTGTTCGTGTTTATGAATTCGCCTAATAAGGGTATGATAAGAAGGTGCCGACCCTACGCCCACAGCGTACTTGTTGTCCACATCTCAGTGTGCCAAATGAGGTGTGTAAAGCAGAGATGTTTGTGCATGGGCGTCGCTGTCGCGCTCTGCCGCAGCAATTCCCGCGCGAGAAGGAGCTGCAGAACCGCGCGGCGCAGCGCGAGGCGTCGGAGCGGTTCAACCTGTCGCGGCTGCAGGACGAGTACGGCTTCGTAAGTACCGCCCCTCGCCCGCTGCTTCTGCTGAGCACGCAACCAAACATTTCATTTGGTTGGGCAGGCACACAAAACAACAAGACTTGGCACAGCGTTTCTCTATTTACGTCGACGCACAGAATTCGAAACAGAAGCCTGAATTGCGTCATCAGTTTTGTTTTTTGAATCGCAAAAATTACCGCGAAAGTTACAATCTACAGTTTTACAGTGGGTTTCGCAATTTAAAAAAAAATGAAGATAGCGGCGTAATTCTGGCTTCAGTTTCGGATTCCGCGTGTCGAAATATATAGAAAAACTTTGTTTCAAATATTTGAGTGTGACATCTTTCTTTGTGTGCCTGTGTAATCTTGCCTTTAGTATTTCCAAGTATATTTTAATGTATTTTTGTAGCTCTGTAGCTCTTGTAAAGTGCAAGGAAAATAACATTTTGTTTGTATTATAAGTTTCTATATTGTTTTTGTTCTTTCGCAAATACCGACTACATATTTATTCTACAATTACGAGAAAATTATAGTTTTAAGGAGTCTTCGTCACGATTCCTTTTTAATTTATCAACGTGATAAACTTGTAGATTCCTCCAGAAACAACTTGCAGAAACATTAACGTAAAGTAATCAATGGAGGGATATTATTAAGGAGCTGTACAGTGTATGGAGGGTCTACGGAATAGTGGTGAATAGTAAATGCGAGAATTGAAAATTATTGAACTTCTCAGCATTATTTTTCAGAATAAGGTTTGTAAATGTGCATTCACTGTGCATTTAACTCTTCAATGCATTCAAAGCATTAGTACGATTTCTCAGACTATATTATATATTATTGCGTTCTTCCTTCCTGGTGCTCTGTTTTTTGTCAGAGTTTTCTCACAAAGGCCATGACCATCAGTCGCTCAGAATCCCTTACGCGGATTTCTACTCTATCTCTTCCTCTTTTGAGCAGGTGCGTTGTACGCCAATATCCCAGCGCTGCGTGTGTATCATTAATCTTTTGTTTTCGCCCCTCGCCTCTAACCTTTCTTACGCCTTCCACCCGTCGCTTTTGCCCGCGACGTCGCGAAGTTCGCGCGCCGCCTTAAAAAGTCGCCGCCCCCGCCCCCACTGCCTGCGCCCCAAGTCTTTATCCCTGCCGTACTTTCCTACTTTGTCTTTGAGCGTATCGCGAAGCACATAGCTCTTTCCTAATCCCTCGGTGCGTCTCTCGCTCCGCGCCGTCTTGTTTGGACCTGCTACCTTCTCAGCTGCCTCCTCCGTCCACCCCCTCGCCCTATTGCGTTGCTATTCCCCTTTCTCCATGCTTCAAAAATAGCACCGCAACCAAAATATTTTTGTTCGTATCTGGGGATCAGATCATGTTTTCTGCATGATTTCGGGGTTGCTGAATCCAAATTCGATGTCTATTTTACTTCACCACATCAGGTTTTTGACAACATCAAAAAATATGAAAAATGAAAGACACATGTTGCCAAGGGGTCATACCATGCAACCTATATGTTTTTGGGATCGCTGAAACTGAATCTGAAGTCCATTTAACTTTATCGCAATTTGTATTTTAAAATTAAGATCAATTATAATTGATAGTGAATGTGACGTTTGCCCCTGACGGAATATCGTTGGCGCTAGATCACTAGTTTTTTTCTCCCAGCAGATAAAGTTTTATAATTTTTTTAGGTTGTATGAAATATCTGATTGACTGATTCTAATTTAGCGACCCCCAAATCATATATATCTTTGACCCTCAGAACCACGCAGTCCCCTCGCTTCGTATCTTATCTGTCTTTCTTCCTCACTTTTCCGCCCCACCAATTCTCTGTCCATCCAGTTCTCCCCCTCGACCCGACTCTACTCCGCTTCGCGAGTTCTTCTTCTCGGCATCTTTCTCCGCCAGTCTGCCCCTCCCCCCACTTCTCCTTCCCGGCAGCTCTCTTACCGCCGCACCCGGTCTCGAACCGCTCCGCCCCGCCACTACTCTGCCACATGAATTCACTCGTACACGAAGGCTTCTGAAGCTCGAGTTCATGGCGTCTTGGGCGTCTGGGTGACGCCGCGACGTTGTCTGAGAGGCCGACGTTTCGCCTGTCACTACCCTGAAGAAGCTTGCGATACGGCAGGCGAAACGTCGGCCTCTCAGCCAACGACACGGCGTCTCCCGGGCAGCCAAAAGAAGTCACATGAATACACCTCCAATTCGTTTCGAACCACCTCCCACCGCTATTCCGCGCCATTATCTTAACTGCGCTTGCTCCTCTCCCGTGTTCCTGAACACCCACTTCAGCGCCCTCCTGTTCCCCGCCGTCTCCGCACTCTCATAGTTTCTAATGCC